GGGCTGGAGGGGAGCAGCTGGGGTGCTGGCCAGGGCAGTGCAGGAGGGTCTGGGTCCTGCTGGAAGCAGGGGAGGTGGTTGGGCCCTGCGTGCAGCGCTGCGGCCTCGGCAACAAGGCTGCTTAGCACAAGGCTTTTTTTTTTTTTTTTTCTCTCTTCTTCCTCTTCAACTGTGGCCACAGTTATTCGAGGACACCCATCTCAGGTTCTCCCTGTGAACTAAGTTTTGTTCTGTGATATGACATGGGGTCAACATCCACTAATAAAAGCAGTTTGAAGAGCGTTGGTGTTGCACGGTTCCTGGGAAGCGCTGGCTCCAGAAGCGGCAGCAGCCGAAGGGAGGGGAGGATGATGGGGGGGGCCCCAGGGCTGCCCTCCCCTGCTGCCTCCTCCCCTGCACATGGAGCCTCCAGGGAGCTGCTCCTCTGGGAAAGGGAGAAGCTGGATTCCTGCCCTGTCCAAAACACACAGGGCAGCTTCCGCCAGGATCACGGTGCCCCATGGAGCAGTGTGGTCTGTGCCAGATGGGAGGGAGCCAGGGGAGCAGAGCCCAGCACTGCCCTGTTCCTGGCCCCCCTTTTTTCCCCAGTGTTCATTTTAAACAACTTTTTCCCCTATAATGCAATAACATGGGCCAACAGCTGCAGACAAATTCATCTTGCAGTTTCAGCACAGTAAAAAAACCAGCACTGCTTAAGGAAAACAAACTCCCATTGCCAAGATGCTTGAGCAGAGTATTTATTCAATGCCATAGTGAAGAGCAAAACTTGGTACAAACATAAACCCTCAGTGCTTCACTCACTACTACACCAAGCTAAGTGAGAAGAACCAATTTCACAAGCTCTGGGGGAGAGCAGAAGGTGGAGGCCAGCATTACTTTGTGTAACTGTACAGGTAACTGGACTTAGATGATCTTGTGCACACACAGAAAGACTCCCTCCCTTCCTGGAAGTCATTTGATGATGGAAAACCTGAGTACAAGGGTTTTAGATAAAGCCATAGGCACCTGCAAAGAAGGGGAAAACGGCAGGACACACAGCCCCATCCCCAGGGCCCGAGGGGCTCTTAAAGCCTCAGTGCCTGTCAGCGTAGTGTCTGCCGCCTCCATCAAGTCTATCTGCAAGCCCGGCCCTGCAAGGGGCACAGGCAGCTGCCTGGACACGCTCCCAGGACGTGGCATTCCCAGCGTTCCTCCTCCCTTTCGGCCCAGGCTCCCTTCCAAGCGCCCAGCTCGGGGGTCACCGCGGGCCTGCGGCGGCTCCGGGAGCAGCTCTCGGGCACCAAGGCCAAGTCAAGATTAGAAGCTCCATTTTAGACTCTCTCCTTTGGTTACCTGCTGGAGAGGGACCTTCAGGGACAGACACAGGGCAAACAACAAGGGTCAGTAACAGCCTGGAGAGCGCCAGCTCCTGCGGGCAGAGGGGTCCCCACGCTCCAAGGCAGCTTGTTCAGCTGCCACGCGAGGTGCAGGAGGGCTGCGCGGCTCCCGCTGCTCCCTCACCCACGGGAGGAGCCTGCAGCCACCCACACCTCTCCATGGAGGACGTGCCGAGAAGCTCCTGTGCCCCAGCTGGAGGGGCACGGCCAGGAGGGGCCCAGGAAGCCCCCGGCCATCCCCATGCCAAGGGGCGGCAGAGCCCCTGGAATAAACAAGTTACCAGGGCCACAGCTTAGTCCAGCAGGGAAGGACAGAGGCAAAGCCAGCCCCACGCAGCCCCACGCCCGCTCTCCACAAGCTCAGACTGGGGAACCAGCAGCGTCCAGCCCTCGGTGCTAGGGAGGGCAACGTGGCAGCAGCAGCACCGAGCGCTGGGTCGGGAGCCTCGGGGGGCCTTTAGCAGCCGCCCCGGCTGCCTCCCCTTGCAACGGCCTCCCCAGCCCTCACCCCAACTGCCCTTGGGCCCAGGGCTGCCCCGGAGGAGGCACCGAGTACAGGCGGCAGCTGCATGAACTGCCCAGGGAGGCCTAGGACACACAAACATCAATAAAACTTACTACATTAAAAACCACACCACGAGTCCTGCTGCAGGGCAGCCCAGCACCGCGGCCCTGCTGCAGCCAAGTGCTCTGCAGCCCACAGCAAGGCCGGCCGCGCGCCAGGCCGCGCTGCACGAGGGTCAGAACGCAGCCTCGGAGCCCAGCGCTCGCCCGGAGCCAGCTGGGACCAGGCAGCAGCGTTTGTGAGAAACTGTGGGGAGGCTGCCCTGCAGCGACCAGCTCGGGCGGCGGTGCAGTCAGAGCCAGGAACAGGCCCGCGACTCGTATGTGCTGTCCTTCAAGCAGATGCTCCGAGGAGGAAGCGATTCCCACTCGTGGGATCCACGTGCCCAGAGCTTGTCTCCGCTGCGCAGGGCTCCAAGCTCTGCAAGCTCCAGAGGAAGTGGCTGGAGTGAGGAAGCCGCAGGAGCAGGTGTGCCTGGGTTCAGCTTTTCTGGTTCATGAGCCAAGAGAAGAGCAGTTTCCTGGGCCGGGGCTTCCTGACGTGCCGGGCGCGCACGGCGCGGGGCGAGCGCCACACCTTGATGGTCGCGTCGTCGCTGGCCGTCAGCAGCAGCTCCTGCTCCACCGGGCTGAACGCCACCGAGTTGACCACGTTGTCGTGCTGCAGTTTGGCCAGGCAGATGTTGTAGTGCCGGTCCCAGATGTAGCCGTGACGATCCTCCGCCCCGCTGCACCACACGAGACACCAGCGAGGACGTTACAGACAGCTACGTTTAACCGGCCGCCTCCGCGCGCACGGAAGCCTCCAGCTGCTCTCTTGCCATCCCAGAGCACCATGGCCTGGGCAGGCAGATTCCTTCTGGAATCTGGACTCTGCCACAGACAGAGGTGAATTTCCAGAAGTGGAGCCCGAAACGAGGCCTCGCAGCAGCAGCAACAAAACCCTTCCAGCAAGAGCCTGGGACACACAGGGAGTGGGGCTGACGGCCTGACCCCACAGCTGGGTTTGCCAGCACTTGTTGCAGCATGAACTGCCCCCGTTCACTGCAGCAGCAAGGCTGTTCTAAGGGATTTTGCCAGCGCTTTGCAACCCACAGCCCCCAGCAAGGCCATTTGCCACCCACTGCCAACACCCCGGCCCCTCCTTTCCTCCTCCCTCAGGGATGTTGCAGCGCCCGCCTCCACTAGCGCATCCCCCCCGCGCCGGCTGATCCAGCCCTTGCTCTTTACACAGCTCCACATCCCTGCTCCGCTCACAACACGCAGGAATTTCCTGCCCACAGAGCAGCCCTGTCTGCACAAGCCCCGGCCCAGGCCCTCCCAGACACGGGGCTCCTGCCCATGCCAGCCCCACGCACCTGGCTACGAAATCCCTGCTGACATCCAGGAAGATGAAGAAACACTCCTCGTTGGGGGTGTAGGCGCGGTGCGCGCGAAGGGCTCTCTTCACCTCCTTCATCGTCTTCAGGTCGAACACGTGCAGGTCGATCTCCTCGGCGATGGGCGGGGGCTGCATCGGGTCCGAGATGACACAGTCCCGCGGCCAGGCCCGGCTGTTCACGTACAGGTACCTTGGGGAGAGGAGGGGGGCAGGAGCCTTGACCCTACCCCTTGCTGCACCCTCACAAAACGCAGCCTTTGGCAGCAGGGGCTCTTTCTCACAGCACCGCAGGGTGGCAACAGCTTTGCTGCAGCTCTCAGCTCTGCCCATCAAGCCCAGTTTGCAACATGGGAAGGTGCTCCCAAAGTGCTGCAGACCCTCCTCCTGCCCCGCTCGGCAAGCAAAGGGCTGCCGCAGTTGGGACTGTGCCCCAGAGGCCAGGCTGAACTTCTCTGGCCTTATCAAACCCAACTCCAAACACAGACGCTCTGCAGCCCTCGGGCTGCCTCGGGGACAGGGCTCGTGTTGGGGGCAGCGTCTTCACTCCCCACCCGACCCCCGGCGTGGAACAGCCTCAGCGGCGCAGAAGGAAGGAGGTTGCCCTGCCCGGACCCGCAGGGACGCGGGACCACGCGTGCCGCCAGCGTCGCGTCACGGAGGGCTGCGGATGGAGGGCGGCTGCCTGGGCAGCCCCTCGCTCCGCTCGGCAGCACCGCGACTCCCGTCCTTGCACTTGAGCTGCCTGCAGCCAGGGCCTGGGGCGCGAGGGGCAGCAGGACCGAGTGCTCTTCCAGGGCACACGATGCCTCTTCCAGAAGGCCAAGGTCACTGCTGGCTTTCAGAGCAGGGCGACTGCCCAGCACCCTCTGGCACGGGTATACGCAAATGGGTCCCTGCGGATAATCTCGGTCTAGAGGAGTTGGAGGAAGATACTCCAGCTCCTCCGAGAGTCGTTCTGCTTTTTCTGGCTGCAAAGGTACCTGCAGCCTCCCCTAGGATGGCACTGCTCACCCCAGCTTCGAGGCGCACGCGTCTCCTCGCACAGAAGTGGCTTCTTTCTCCTATTTGTGCCAGTGTCCCCGTGCAGCGGTCGCCCCGCGCGCCGCTGCCTCCCCGCTCACCTGTGGTCGGGGGAGAGGCCCATGCCGATGATGTGCCCGTGGATGTCGATGACGTGATCCAGGGAGTCAAAGAACTCGTCCGAGCGCCTCTCCTCCCCAAGCACCGGCCCAGCCGTCGTCATCTGATGGGGCAGGATCCTTTTAATCCCTTGGGGACAGGGAGCAGAGTCAGTCCCCGCTGCAGGCTGCAGCCAGCACACAGCGCCCCGGCTCCCGAGTGGAGCGTCCCTTGGCGCTGTGAAGGGAGCAGAACTGCCTCCCTTCTGGCCAGGAGCATGGAAAAAGCATCTGGGACAGGTCCCTGTCCCTGCTAGGAGCCTCCAACTCTGGCTAGTGGTGCTTCTGGCCATGACCAGGCACATCCAACCCGAGGCAGCAAGATGCTCCCGCACTGCTGCCACCGCCACATCGGTCCCCGAGTCCGGGGCTGCTCCGAGGTGGCAGAGCTCCTGGGAAGCACGAGGGAGCTCTGCTGGCCACGGAAGGGCTTCCCCTCCGAGGAATCCTTGGCCCCTCTGCTCTAACCACCAGCTCGAGGGCACCAGGATTCCCACCGGCTGTGGCGGCTCTCCCGCGGATCCGGCTCGAGCAGCCCCCGCGTTCCGAACTCCCCGACTAAGGGGGAAGGGGGCAGCCCCCCTCCTGCGGCTGCTCCCCACGGAGCACTCCCTGGATGAGCGCAGGTTCCGGCAGCTCCTGGGACGACGGGGCCTCGACCTTCCCCAAACGCACACGAGAAACCGGGAAACGACCCGGCCCCCTGCTCAGCCCCCTCAGCTTCGGCCCTCTCCGAGATCGGAGCAGTGCCCCATTGCACCGACTCGAGGCCTTTTACGAAGCCGCTGCAGCTGACCATGGGGAAGAGAAGGACTTCACAGAATGGTAACGGCTGGAAAAGACCCCCAAGACCAAGTCCACCCAGAGCCCCGCAACACAAAGCCTGCTAAGCCAGGTCCCTGCTAAACCACGTCCCCGGGTGCCTCATTTACACATTTCTTCAACACTGCCAGGGATGGTGACGCCACCACTTCCCTGGGCAGCCTGTCCCAATGCTTCCCACTCTTCCCGTGCCGAAATTCTTCCTAGTTTCTAACCATGAGGGAGATGTTGGAGTTTTCCAGCCCAGCTGTCAAGGCTCCCTGGCTCCTCCTCCCGCATTTGCAGGGCACCAGAGAACCCCCTTTCCCGGGAGAGCTGCCAGCGCTGCCTTGGCCCTGGGAGCAGCCCAAGGGGCAGAGCTGCGGGCAGGAGCCGCGGCTCCCTCCGAGCACCAGCTCCTTGGCACAGAAGCTGCTTCGAGTCACAGACCTACAGGCGAGCGACGCGCTGGCCACGACCCGCGGCTGGGAAGAGCCCAGAACACCCCTAGGAACAGCCCGAGCTGCCGCGGGCACCAGCTCTGGCGGTCACTGAAGTTTATAGAATCACAGAATGCTCAAGGTTGGGAGGGACCTCTGGAGATCATCTAGTCCAACCCCCCTGCACACGCAGGGTTGCCTAGAGCACGTGGCACAGGACTGCGTCCAAACGGGTTTTGAAGATCTCCAGAGAAGGAGACTCCACAACCTCTCTGGGCAGCCTGTTCCAAGGCGCTGTCACCCTCACTGGTAAGAAATTTTTCCTTAAGTTCCTGGGGGACTTTTGGTGTTTCAGTTTTAGGCTATTACCTCTAGTTCTGTCAGTGGCCACCACTGAAAAGAGGCCAGCACCATCCTCCTCACTGCCTCCCTTGAGGTACCTATAGACACTGCTCAGGTCCCCTCTCAGCCTTCTCTTCTCCAGGCTGAACAGGCCCAGGTTCAAAGGCACCAGAACCCACAGCCGCGCGAGGCCCCGGTGAAGGCAGAGGGGGACAGAGCCGGCACCTTCCGCAGCAGGAGGCTTTGCCGGGCACAGGGCAGGCCCAGCCCATGCGGGGAGAGACCACGCGGCTCTTCCCAGGCTCGGAAAGAGCCTTTCCTGGCAAAGCCTCCCATCTCATTCAACTGCTCTGGTAAAGACCAAAGAACAGAAGGGTTAGGAGAGCAGAAGAGGCTGGAATAGCACAAGCAGCAAGAGGAACTAGACCTGCCTTGTTTGACAAGAAACCTTGCAGGCAGCTCTCCTTCCCATCCCATGCTCTACTCATCTGCCTGCTCCTTTCCCCTGTGCTTCTAGGCTGGCTCTGCAGGGCATGGGAGAAGCAGCCAGAGGAGCCAGCCCTGTTCAGCACCACATATTGCACCACAGCGTCAAATTCTTCCAGTCCCAGTGTCCCAACAACAGAGCCCCGAATAAGGGGGGAAAGTCCTAATCCAGAAACAGGGCTGCCCACAGCACTGCTGCTCAGCGAGTCCTGCAATTACAGACCCTTGTACCCTGGGCCAGGAGCCAGCGGGCTGCCTGGAGTCACCGCTCACCATGGAGGTGTTTGCTGCAGCGTCTCATCCTGCAGCAAGGAGGGAGCGGTTCAGCCTGCAGCCCGGCTGGGGCTGTGGGACGTGGCATTAAGCAGCGGGCAGCGCGGGGGGCAGCGTGGCTGTGCCCCCCTTGGAGCTGGCTGCAAGGGCAGGCCAGGCCCTGTCCCCGTGCTGAGGGCTCTGGATAAGGAGCAGACACCTCCACGCTGCTCAAAGCGGCCCTCTTGGGAAGCTCTCTCCCAAAGGAGCCAGGAGCAGGACCCTCCCGCAAGCCCATGCCAGCACTGTCCTTCACACCCACTTGCAGGGCACAACTCGTGGCCAATGCTGTCAAGTCAGGAGTCTGTTCCCAATCTTCCACTTAGCCCTCACCACGAGTTTTCCACCTGGCTGAGTGTCAAACGTGGCAGAAACAAAACGGCCTCGCAGCAAGTGCTTGAGGCTTGAAACCCCTGCAGTTACTGCAGGCACCTCAGGAGCCTTCTGCACCAAGACTCCCTCAGCCCGAGCAAAACTGCAGCTCATCCAATGCCGAGCACAAAACTGTGGCTCAGATGTGAGCAGTAAATCCCAAAGACATTTTCCCCAGGCATTTTCCAGGTGGAAATGGGAAGTGCAGCTGCAGGTAGACCCAGCCTGTGCCCTCAAGGAGCTGGTGTGCCCTGGAGCTCAGGACACAACCTTACCTATCTGATGTGGAGAATAGGTGAGGCATCCTGTGGTGAAGATCAAGTATTTTATCTTGCTGCTGCTGTCCGTGGGGAGCACGGGCTCGGGCGGTTTGGTTCTGTTGCGGATGAACAGCTCAGCCACCCTCGCCTCCAGCTCGCTCTCGGTCATGGCAGCCCTCACACAGCCCTCCATGATATCGTCAAAGAGCTGCTGCAGCCCGTCCTCTGCTGCTGCGTCCCCATCATCCGGCAGTTCCTGTCCTGCTGGCTCTGCAGTCTGCTTGGGCTTGGCCTCTCCTTCCTCACTGTCACTGCCAAGATCAAAGACTGGGCAGGTGGAGGTGGAAGAAGCCGCCAGCTGCTCCTCGTAGTCCAGGAGCAGGTCTGGGGAATCGTACCGGCTGCAGTCGGCCACCATCACGGTCCGGATAGTGCTGGCATTCAGGTTCTGGATTTTAAAGAGCCTCTTCACTACGTTCACATTCTCGGACTCTATGCCCTGGAAGCAAAAGAGGGGTAAGCGGGAAGCACCTCCCTGGAGACACGTTGATCCTACAGCTTCTGCGCAAAGAGCGCCTGGACACGGGCCCCCGAGGGGGGCACCCGCTCCGCAGCGCTGCTGCCCGGGCCGCTCCGAGCACTGCGGATCCCGGGAATGGTGCACCAGGGCGGGCAGCTCCACCGCGCTCCTCGGAGCAGGGAGCGCCGGGACGGCCAGCGGCAGCGCCCGGTTTGGGCAGACAGCAGCCGAGCCGGGAAGAGAGGCCAGCGGCCTCGCTCTCACCCCCTGCCCGAGCTCCTGGGCAGCCCCGGCCCGTGGCACAGCGAGAACTTCAGGAACGGGCCTCTGTGCTAAACGCAGGTGCAGCAAGAAGCACCAGCCGCTGGCTCCCGCGCGCATCCTGCACGGAATGAGCCCTGTCCCAGCGCACAGCCACGAGCAGCAGCTCCTTGGCCAGCACGGAGCTCTGGCAGGCACGTGGCAACGGCCCTGCCAAAGCGCCCAAGGGCCTTTCTGGCCTCCCTGGGATGCAGGATTTAATGCTGTAGCGTCAGCGCAGCACAAGCAGGTGGTTATTGTGTTACTGCAATGCAGCAACAGCTACAGAGGATTTAACTTAGTGTCAGTACCAAGGCTTGGCGTCAAAGAAGGAACAGGATGTGTGGCATTCTGTGACCGAGGCAAGGCACGAGGAGGAACATGCCTAAATCCTGCAGGAAGTGGCACAAGAGGCTGAGAATGAACAGGCAACCAGCCCGGTCAGGTGCACCCTGGGCAGCACCCGGCCCGTGGGAGCCTCAGCGGGCAGCAGGGCTAAGCGCAGCCTCCCACCCAGGCACTGCACGAGCTGCCGGGGACGTGCCCGGCTGCAGGAGCCGCCGGAGCTCAGCAGCCCTGCTGGGGTCCCCCGCTGCTGCGGGGGAAGCTCTAGGGCCCTGCACGCAAGACCTGTGAAGGGAGAGGAAAAGAAGGAAGCAGAGGGGCCGAAGCTGAGGCTACTGCAACGGGCACCACAGTGCTAAGACCTCATGCAAGGTCACACAAGCTAAAGAGCCCAAGAGGGAGCCAGGTGAGACAAACTGAGGACAGGGAGACTCAGTCGTGCTTCCTTGTCCCACGGCCCCAGCTTTTCCTCCCACTAGAGCCAGCAGGAAGCCCCAGCACCCGCAGAGCAGGACGGGTCACCCCACCTGGAAGGCGTTGTTGAGCCACAGCACGGAGCAGGAGGTCACACGGCCGATGCGGTGCAGATTGCCAGAAATCAAGTTGGTTTCATTCAGCCAGCAGCCAAACACATCGTAGGGTTTGTTTCTCACCCTAGAGAGGAGCGTAAAGTTCTCTGGAAGGAAAAGGAGACACAAGCATGAGGTGAGGGCTCCTTACAAGGACCCTGGAGATGGGAAGCAGATCCAGGCCTTGGCACTGCATCAGCACCTCTGCTGCTGTTAGCCTTTAGTGGAAGCTGGGCAGACACTGCCAGCTCCCGAGCACTGCTATGGGCACAGGTAATTCCTCTCTTCTAAGGGCATCTGTTGGGAGAGCATGCACAAGGTATCAGGGCAGCCATACGGAGTCAAACCCCAGAGTCAGGGAGCCTCGTGTCCCTTCTCCAAGCATGGCCCAAAGCAGCACCCCAAGGACAAGAACAGACCAAACAAGATCACGGCTTGGCACCCTCCCAGCCTCCCCACCTAGGGCCTTTTTGACCAACACAGTCGTGCGTTTAGCAACGCTCCTTAATTTGGGCACAGCAGATAGGACCGCAGCAGAGAAACAGCAGAAGATAACCCAGCTGAAATTAGCAGGGACCACAGAACGAGTGCAGGAAGGGCAGAGCAGGATGGCTGCGTTTCAGAAAGCCACACAGGACCTCGGGGGACCAGCAAGCACTGGTGAGGGGCAGAAATGGGGGCCTACCAGGTAATATTCTAGGGGATGATGTGACTGGCAGAGATGACTAGGTAATATTAGCCAGGAATTTTACCCTATGGCACTGTGAGATAAAGACCTCTTAGCACAGATGACAAGATGCAGGACAAGCAGAAGCCAAGGGCACAGCAAACACGAAGAGCAAGGAGAGGGAGGAAGACCCAGTGGAGGGAGGCAAGGCCATTAATTACCCATACTGATTACAGCAATCTCTCCTGATGAGGAGTTGTGAGGTCCCACAAAGACGCCGGATACCAGGAGGAGGGAGTCATCCGAGTTGAACTGGGAGAACTGTGTGTAGCTCCAGTTGTACGGCCTCATATTGGAGCTGTGCTGCAGGGAGATGTCCAGCTCGTTGCTCCAGATCTGCAGACAGACAGACAGGCAGTTACGAAGCCAGGACGAAGCCTCACGGTTCTGCTGCTTTATCTCTCCTGCCAGCACTCACCAGGGAAGAGAAGAAAAACAAAAGCACCACTCCCTAACTGCCTTCAAGTTCCAATTTCCCTGTCAATTCCTGCCGTGAAAGAGCCAACAGTTTTGGAGAATAATGCAGAATTGCTTCTCCATCAGTGAGCCAAGCAGTGAATGCTATGGCTGGATTTCCAGTATGTTGAGAGATTTCTCACAAAATAATCATTCATGAAAGACACCTGCTGCAGCCGGCCACTCGCCCCAAGGTCCCCCCTCTACCCACAGCTCAGAGGGGACTGATGCTCAGCTAGAAGATGCACAGGGCTTGGCAGGCACCGCCAGCACCTTCAGACAGGCGAGAGCTGGAATCCACAACCCTCGAGGCTGCATTTGCCAGACTCGTTAGTTCTGTGGCTTTGAGGACAGCTCGGCATCCGCAGGAACAGATGCAAGTGCAGGTTAAAGCCCTCTGCTCCGCAGACTCGTAAAGGTGAGGGGTGCTCAGGGCTAAGCCGACTTGGTGGCGCTGAGGGCGCAGCCACCTTACCTTGACGGTGCAGTCCTTGGAGCACGAGGCGAACAGCCAGCCCGAGTGGGAGAAGCTGAGGTGCAGAACCTGGTCGCTGTGCTCCTTCAGAGCCTGCACTTCCACACAGGGGATGGTGTCGTAGAGCCTCTGGAACTCGTCGTACCAGGAAACGGCAGCTGGAACACACAACAGGAGCCCGGCTGGGACAGAGGGGCCGGAGCGGAGCGCAACGCCGCAGCCGCGCAGGAGGTCTCTGATAAAGCGGTGCCGGTGACACCAGCCACCCCGCCGTCCCTGAGGGCCCTCCGGCACCAGCCCCTGCTCGCAGGGCCCAGGGCTCCTGCTCCGTAGCCTCCCTAGTCCCCCACACAGGTCCTTTCTCCCAGGGAACACCCAACTCCTCAGCACATCTCTAAACCCTTTTACAAGAACCAAGCAGGGCCACAGCTGACAGATAATAGCTATTCACTACCCAAGAAAAAACATTTCACAGGACAAACCAGCAGCTGGAAGTGCAGATATTCCCTGGCAGAACAAAAACAAACTCCCCTATGATGAAAGCTGTTCCTCGGGGTACCGAGCTCTGTCCCGATCACCCCTGTCTCATGCAATGCAGAATTAAGAAGGATCCAGAGGGCATGAGCCTGACAAGGCTCCATGAGAGAAAAGATTGGGGAAAACAGAAGAGAAAAAACAGACATGGACTTATTATGTCAGGACAGAAGAGGAAAACTTGCAGTAGATGAACTTGGAGCTTGCCCAGGGAAGTCCTACCAGAAGCAAATAAATCATTTTTTTAACGAGGTGCCCAACAGAGCAACCTACAGCTTCCTGGCAGCAGCAAATCCTCAAGAAGCAGAGAGGACTGCACATTTACACAGACAGCAGCTGGTCTGCCTAGTCACACTGCAGGGGACTGGGGGCTTTTTGCACGTCTCTCCCTGCAGCCCGGGGAGCTGCTGGGACACCCCCACGCTGCTCCCTAGGTGGGTGCTCCCCACTCGGAGGCTCCCACAGTCTGGACACATCCCGTGCGGCCCAGCAGCTCCAACGCTCCTGCTTGCAGGACCCCGGGGCTGCTCCTGGCCAACCTGCAGACCAGGTTGGCAGGCAGTTTCCCAAACCTCAGCTCAGCCCTGGGCCCGGCCGGCACCCCCATCCCTGGGTACCCGCGGGGCGGTTGGCTGCCGGCTCAGCCCCGGTGGGGACGGCCATTTCCCACTGCAGGAAAGACCCCCCTCGGCAACAAGCACTGCCAACAACACGTGCCCGGGACCTGTCCCAGCCGGGCTCATCCCACCGGGCTGCCCCCTGCACAGGGCGGGGAGCTGGGCCCAGTGCGGGGCCGGCGGCGGCTCC